AGCTGGCTTCCAAACCAGCTCTTAGTTACGATTACTTATCTCGCAAAAGTTAATATACTGTCATCTTCCAGCTCAGCTCATGCAAATTTGATATGTGCTAAACTGAACTATTTTCTCCACTTTTATTGACACAACCCTCCAACCTAATCACAGCCCTTCTGTTGTCTTGTATTGTAATCAGTCATTTCACATTGCATATCAAATGTACCATGATATTAACGTGTATTCATATGCACACTCACAACAACAAGAACATGGAATTGATCGTATGCGACTGAAGCATCTGTGAGGGAAAACCTCACCTTTTCCCTCCATCTCCTCATCAGTTTATCTCCATGGTTACAACATCCAGACTCATCTTCACTGAATTAACTCATGCAGTTCTTCTGCTCAAATCACCAGCATGTCACTCGCTGTCAAAAGCTACAAAAATCAACTACAGGCATGTAGTATGAACATGCTCAAAAAAGATAAAAACACACTGAGCTTAATTAAAAGCAGGAGAACTTTTTCATGCAATTAAATTAAGCCTTTTCACCAAAACAATTAGACTAAGCAGATATGTTTTAGTCTTGCTGCTCAACATCAAATTCATTAATTACACTTAGATGTGATGAACATGAGAAGGACTGTTGTCGGTGGGGGGAGTGAATAACCAGTGATCTCTCCACCTTCAATACCACTACTGAGGTGAGACCCTTGAGCAAGGCACCGAACCCCCAACTGCTCCCCGGGCACCGCAGCATTGGCTGCCCACTGCTCCGGGTGTGTGTTTATGGTGTGTGTGTGTTCACTACTGTGTGTGTGTGCGCACTTGGATGGGTTAAATGCAGAGCACAAATTCCACTGACTCAAAAAACACCGACTCACTCACTCACTCACTGACTCACTCACTCACCGACTCACTGACTCACTCACTCACTGACTCACTCACTGACTCACTCACTCACTCACTGACTCACTCACTCGACTGTTTTGATGCTACTGGACACATTAGTAACCATCTCAATGGTTTTTAGACTTTTGGGATGGGATGTCCACATGCTGTACACATTCAATATATACAGTAAAACTTGCTGTATACACTTACCGTACTGTATAAATTAGTTTTTACATTCTTTTGGCTGCCTTGATTCGGCCTATATTTCAGATCTGTACTTGCCCTACTAACATCATATGATATTTTAATATGATAAATATGAAATTTAAATATGATAAATAGCTATAGCTATTTATTTTTTATCAAACATATTTTATTTGTAATAATCAAATAATTTCCCATGAGTTACAATGCAACTGATACTTCTAGACTGAAAAAGAAAATTGACTCAATTTTTCTTTCTTTTTTTTGGCAAGTTTTTACACTTAGATTTTAAGAAAATGTAATATTAGTTGTAACTATATGTTAACTAAGTTTAAGTAAGTAGAATTAAGTGAATACATACATAATTTTTAAGGCAATTCCATGCATAATAATACTTTTAAAATAATACATTTACATTCCCAATTCAGTCCTATGCAAAGTAAGCTGGGAATGCGGTTTCAGTTAATGCATCAAAAATGATTCATGTAGTCCCAACATAAACTTTATTTGTATATATTTAAATGTTAAACATGTAATTATTAAGTGTTCAGCAATTGCGTTATTTTAGATTACTTTAATGACATAAATTGAACAAGCAGAACAAATGACGAAAATTCTTATAATTTCAGATTTTTAAAAATATTAGATAAGCCTAATTTGACAACTATGTACAATTTAACCAAAAAATCGAAATATTTGCATGTGCAAACCCATTGTGTTCGAGAACTGAGTACAACTTTTGTGTTAGAGGTCAAATGGACTTTTCCATGCAATTTGCAAATTTTACCTGACTCTTTAGTGTTTTTCACAGTGTTGATTTTGGGCAAATTGTATTAAAAACAATAGGGGTCCAACACACAAGTCATAACATTTGTACAGCCTATCCAAAACACATGTGTCGAGGCTTCGCATGCACATTCATGATCCTAAATTGAAAATACCCTCAAAATTTCAAGAAGAAATAAACTGTTTAACCAGTATTTCGAGCAGTTTGAAAATGAAGTGTGGGTCAAATTGACTCCAACACAACAGGAGGGATAAATCTGGCCCAATAATGTAAGCCACAGCTCCTTCAATTGACCCAAAGCTCTCTGATGATCTGTATTGTTGAGGGCTGTTCTGTTATGTAAGTTTCTCTCTTCTCACTGCATTGAAGCGTCAGTAGAAAGTGAGAACGAGGGCTGGGTTTGATCACACCACCGTCATGCGGCACTCGCTAAATCCCTCCGCATGAGCCTCCCAGATAAAGCCTAGATTCACGCCCAGGAGAACTGGCCTGGATTTCATCATCTCACTACGCGTGCGATGTGTGTATTCAGGGTTGTGTGACCGAGCAGCGAGCTGTGCTGATAACTTCAAACTCTCTGCTGAAAAAGAAGAATTAGAAAGACAATCGAGGCCAATAAAGGAGTGGCTATCATCCTAAAATCTGGAGGTGACTGAGTTCAGATCAGACACCTGCTGTCACACTCCCGCTGCTGCATGCTGACCGAGTCCAAGAGGAACACAAGGTCATTGTGCCATGCAAATTACAATGAAATCATTGAGTTACATGAATAATCTGAGACCTGGCAGATGGCTCGACCTTGCAAAAGGACACGGATGGTGACTGGGTGCATTGAAACACTGCAGGTTTGCTGCTATAGCTACACAGAAAAAGTTTGGCTTTGGAGACAATTCAAAAGGGGAAGTGAAGATGTCAACATGTACTTTGATCTATAATACCATGAATGAATGAAATCTTTATCATTTTGGGATGCTGATTTAAAAAACGGTCACTCTAGTAGTCAAACTTTCTCACAAAATATGATGCATGAGCACGATCAAGATCACAACCGTGTATTTATGATATTTATACATACAGTACTGTAGCATACAACCAATGTTCCTTCTCTTGAAGTAACATGTTTTTTTGCTTCTCATTTGCATAAAGCTGAGAATTTCTCTTTTTTGATGCTCACAACACCTCCTCCACTGTCAATCCCACAATCTCCCACACTTAATAATCAATATCACTGAACTGAACCAAGAGTGACAGTCAACATACACTGTTGTTTAAAAGTTTAGGGTTAGAAGATTTTTTTTTAAAGGAATTGATACTTTTATTAAGTAAGGATGCATTAAACTGATCAAAAGTGACAGTAAAGACATAATGTTACAAAATATTTATGTTTTGAAATAAATGCTGTTCTTTTGAGCTTTCTATTCATCAAAGAATCAAAAAAAAAAAGGCAGTTTCCACAAACGTATTGGGCAGCACAACTGTTTTCAACATTGATAATAATCAGAAATGTTTCTTGAGCAGCAAATCAGCATATTAGACTGATTTCTGAAGGATCACGTGACACTGAAGACTGGAGTAATTATGCTGAAAATTCAGATTTGATCACAGGAATAAATTACATTTTTAAATATATTCACATTGAAAACAGTTATTTTAAACTGTAATAATATTTCACAATATAACTTTTTTACTGTATTTTGAATCAAATAAATGCAGCCTTGGTAAGTATTAGAGACTTTAATGTCAAAAACATTAAAAACATCTTACTAACCCCAAACCTAGTAGTCTATACAGATTTCACAGCTGCAGCAAACATCCAAAGCGATGAAAATATTATGAATTGAGCCCCAACTACATAAGTTTTATACATTTTAGATCATCCTTTTTAAATGTCTGAGGATCCTGTAGTAATGTTATGAAGCTGTGCCAGGAGGACGGCATCTCTGCAGGCCTCTCTGGTACCGTGGATAATTAGCATGACCCCTCTTTGATGCACTGTTGACTTTTTAATCTAGTGTACTTACATGGCAGGATAACAGTCACACTGTGTCTCCTGGTCCCATTCATGACATTATTAACACATTATGAATGTCTTCATAAAGCCTTCCAGTTCACTCTTACAAATTAAGGTTCTTCACTGGCACTGAATGTTCCATAGAGAACCTCTAACATCCATGGAACATTTCAAGTGTCTTTATAATGGAAAAAGGTTCTTTAGATGTTTAAATTGTTCTTTAAACTAAGAAAAAAAATATTTTAAGAACTTTTTTCTGAAAACCAAAAATAAAGGTTCTATATTAGCATCAATGGTTCCATGAAGAATCTTTAACACCCATGGAACCATTCCACTGCACAAAAAGTTCTTTATAGTAGGAAAAGATTCTTTAGATTATTAAAATGTTCTTCAAAATTGAGGAACAAATGGTTCTTTTAAGAACTGTTCTTTTGGAACCCAAAATGTTTCTTAGACTGTTAAAAATAAAGGTTCTTTATTGGCATTGATAGTTCCATGAAGAGCCTTTAACATCCATGGAACATTTCCAAGTTTCTTTATAATGGAAAAAGGTTCTTTAGATGTCTAAAATGTTCTTTAAACTTAAGAAAAATGGTTCTTTTAAGCACATTTTACTGAAAACCAAAAATGGTTCACTCTCAAAAATGATGGTTCTTTATTGGCATCAATGGTTCCATGAAGAACCTTTAAAATTCATGGAACCATTCGACTGCACAAAATCTTTATATTGGGAAAAGGTTTTTCAAAATTGAGGAACAAATGCTTCTTTTAAGAACTGTTCTACAAAGAACTACAAAGTTCTTTTGGAACACAAAATGGTTCTTAGACTTTCAAAAATGCAGCTACTTTATTGACATTGATGGTTCCATGAAGAACCTTTAACATCCATGGAACCATTCCACTGCACAAAAGGTTCTTTATTGAGGAAAAAGCTTCTTTAGATGTTCTTCACACTAAGAAAAAATGGTTCTTTTAAGAACTGTTCACTGAAAGGTTCTTTGAGGAATCCAAAAGCATTCTTCTATTGCATCGCTACGAAAACCTCCTTTTGGAAGCTTTATTTTTAAGAGTGTAGTAGGCTAGAGATATTTAGCAAAGCAACACATGCAGACACTCACCCATTGGCCAGATTGTCGTCATCGTCGTCATTAAGGCTCTTGCAAAGTACATCAGTATCACTCAGGTAACCAGACTTGAGGTCGCTGTCTCCGGCGTCCAGGCCTTCGATGAACTCGCTGCGTGACGTGTGGCTGAGGAGGCTGGAGCAGCGGGCAGGCATGGTGTGAGAGGTGTACTGAGACAAGGCCTTGCTGCCCGACACATAGCTGCTGCCCGTTGAGGAAGGAGCGTCACCGGCTTGCAGACGAGGACTGGACTGGCCGTGGCGCCAGGAGAGAGGAGAGGAGCGGTTGGAGAGGCTGGAGATGCTACGAGCGTTGGTTTCATCACTGTCGTAGCAGACGCTGCTGTCCAGACAACTATAGACGGAAAGAGGTGCATGCAAAACACAACATAATAGGGTTGTTGAGCCACAGGAACTCGTGGCCTACTAAAGAAAAGGATGCATCTGTGGGAGAATTCATCTGCTGAGGATGAAGATTGCATAACCAGATGCACCAGCTCAAATGAATAATATAACAGCTTCCTTTACCACATGAACATGGAAGAGTTATTTTTATGCACTTCTCTCAGGATAATTCATCAGACAGCTGCAAAATGCCAGAAAATGCACACTTGTGGGTTGAAATATTTGATGCACTCAAGGCATAAACAGCACACAAACACACTGGCATTGGGTTATTCGGTTAGTGTTACCCAGCTGAAGGAGGATTATTTGGTCTGTTATTCTTGCAAATGGGTCGCTTGGTCAATGCAGCTTGGTTGCCAGCAGGTCTGTTAATCATTTCTATCTGTTGTTGATGGGCTATTTTAAGACTGAGTGATTTGTGAAAAAAACTCATGACTAAATTATTAAATTATTTGGAATAAACTAATGGAATAATAAACTCATTTTTTAAAAAGAGCTCAGATTTGCTGTGCTTGTTTTTAGAGCTACACAATTTGGCCAATACAATTATATAAAATAATTATTGTAATGATGATGATGATGATGTACTATAAAATAAAAATGTGTATGTAATAAAAATAAATAATTTTATTTCATTTTAGCAAAAATAAATATATAAAAAATAAACAAAAAATAAATAAATACTGCAAGGAGCCTTAAAAACATATTTTTTGCAGTATACCTCATAATTTTTCATAATTTTGTTCTGTTGTCAATGGAGTATTCAAGGGCTGAATGGAATTTGAATTTGGGGAAGAAAAAAATCAGATTGCAATTTTTTTTATAAATATTACATTAAAACACAATTTTGTAAAGCACCTTCAGGTTTGCTTTGCTTGTTTGTAAGGTTGCATATTTTGGCCAATAAAATTCTACTGTGATTATATAAATCTGGCAATAATAATAATAATAATTATTATTATTATTAAAATAAAAATATTACAATGATAAATATATTATTGCAATAATACTATTGTACTGTAAATAAAAATTAAGTATTTAATAAAATATTAACATTAAAAATAAATCATTATTGCAATAATACTACTGTACTACTGCCGTAAAATTCAGTATCTAATAAAAATAATTCTTAAAAATAATGGTCTTTTTTAAAGTACAAAAATTTGATGCTTACTTCTTAATTTCTTTAAATTAAGCAAACATTAAATCACCATTTGTTTATTTGTGTTGGCAACCGGTTTAGAAATGCTTCTCGTTACACATAGTAAAAAGTAGTGCTGTCAAATGATTAATCGCGATTAATCATTTGACAGCACTACTTTTTACTATGTGTAATGAGAAGCATTTCTAAACCGGTTGCCAACACAAATAAACAAATGGTGATTTAATGTTTGCTTAATTACTTTGCTTAAACACACACATATTATGTAAACAAAAACTTGTATTTTTAATCGTGATTAATCGTTTGACAGCACTAGTAAAAAGCGATTTTATTTTGATGAATTGTTCAGTCCTAGGCTTTTCGTTTGGCCCAACAATTGTATCAATGGAAAAAATAGTTAAGTTTTACTCATATTTGTAATTTGCATGTATCTGAATTCTATATCAGTTGAGCTGATTATGAAATGGAAGGAATGAATGATCTGGACTCCGGATCCAGCAGCATTGCTGGCTCTCATGGCAGCTGGCATTACTAGTGGAAGACCTGGATTGGCGATAAAGGACCACATGGGAGTTTCTAGACAGAATAAATGTTTAATTTCTCAGTATTTTCAAAAGACATCTGAAAATAACACATATACAGCCTCATTTCACTGCACTGGACCTTTCATAGTGACGGCGCAGCCACTCCCAAACCTCATGAGCTGCTTTTCCATTCGCTTTCAGTGCCACATCACATCCTACATGAAGCCAAAGCAAAGGTCCTGCTCTCTCCACGTCGCACACTATGTGGCAAGAACATTTATAGAGTTTTTCTCATTACTAAAATCAACAATGACTGTAATGGCAAAAGCAGACTTTACATTTCTACAATGACTGTGTTTGCCCATGCAAACTTCACCAGCATAAAGCCATAATGTTGTGAGTGGTTGCCAAGGCGTTGTATACAGTTGCTAAGGTGTTCTGAGTGATTGCTTGTGCATTGCTATGCAGTTGTTAGGATGTAGCGAGATGGTTCAGGTCTGTCCTTCTAAAATTTGATTGAAAACTGTTAGTTGGATCACTTAGACAACCCTGAATGAGACCTCAAATTTTGCAACTTATTATAGTTAACTAAAACTTTAAATAAAATAAAATAGAAAATAAAAGTTTATTTTAAACTGTTTATTTTATTTTATTTTATTTTATCATGAAAATCTGACTTTTCCAGGTTTTAAGTGCTATAATCAGGTCCTCGGTGCATCTACCAACCAAGGACACGTGAAAAAGATTAACCCAGTAACTTTGTTTTGGGAAGCCTTTTTCTGCAAGCGTCTGAGAAAACGAGCGCGTCTGATTTCACTCCCTTGGAAGGGGGTGGGGAGCAGCAGCTCATTTGCATTTAAAGACACCGGCCCGAAAAACAGCATGTTTCTGCTTCCACTCAACATAGGCATTTTCAAAATGATGTAATAAATGATCTGTGGAGTATTTTGAGCTGAAACTTCACAGACACATTCTGGGGACACCAGAGACTTATATTACATATTGTAAAAAAAGGGGCATAATATGTCTCCTTTAAGCAAGTTTCCAAGGCAGCATTTCTCATTTTCATTTAGTTTAACTTAATGTACTAAACTAACTAAATTTTATAGTACAACTATCATTCAACTTTTTTCAGCTGCTTTCCCATTTTTCAATTTTCATTTAGTTTAACATGATGTACTAAAATAACTAACTAAAATAAGAAAAAGAAGAAGAAAAGATGAAAACTTAAAAAAATAAAAATAATAAAAACTGGCAAAAGCACAAAACAAAATTACTACAATTTTATGTAAATTTAAAACAATCTAAAAATAAAAACTAATTCAAAATATTAATAAAAACTATTATAGTACATCAATGATTCTAAAAAAAACACTGTGTTGTTGCGGGTTTTGCTTAAAAACTCATCACACATCATTACGGAAACATGCTGAACTGATAAAAAGCTTTTTTGTGAAAGCATAACACATCACAAACAATTTCCTAAACAAACACAGCACATGAGAACTTAAAAGCGTCCATGTGGTTCAGTAATTAGCTAATCACATTTTCCAATTCAATTGCACATCTTGGCATAATCAGGATTCGACCAGCAGGTGTATAATGTGAATCGACACGATCAGAAAAATCAAACAGCGCACCTCTATTCTGAGTCGTATTAGGTCATGCATCTCCATGTCTTGAAGGCTAACAGAAGTATCCCGTTATAGAAAAGCTCATTATGCACACATACATCAGTGTGGCTGTGAATCTGTGGGTTGAGTGCGGTTAATCTGGTATGAATCATTTTTACGCCTGCGCCATCAAGTCTTTGGAAGCTCATCAGTCTTATACAAGTGCTGCTATTAAAATGGAGCTGCAGGTCTCAAGCGTGTTATATGTCTACTACAAAAGTCTTCTGCTCTGAAACTTAGTAGAGCAGTGAATGGTTAGCCTGCAGGGAAAGGTTTGATGTTAGGAGGAAGGACAGGTTGAGATCTCTAGGGGCAAAACTCAGGAAGGTACTGAGATCAAAGTTAGCATAATTGCTAGGCTAAGCACATCTAGCGTACTGTAGCACACCTGTGGGGAAGGAAAATCCGTTCATCGGGAAGTAGCATACCATCTAGCTTATTCTGTAACTTGCACAAACATTTTTTGATTTATATGTCTGTGAGATATACTGTATACATACACAATAACAAATTATCAGCTTAACTTTAAGCAACCACATAAAAACATTCTAAAAATCACTCAGAGCAACATGGTAACCTCGCAAAACAAAGAGAAAGAAATTTTTCAGAAAGATTTTTTCAGAAGATGTAAAACTCCAGTTGTGTATTGCTGTATATCTGACTGTGCAAAGCCTGGAGTCCAGCTGATTTCTGTGTGTGTTTGTTGTTATTCATTGATGGAAAGTGTTGCGGCAACTCTCCCAAAAGACGTGGGAGGCTGAATGGTTGTGGAAAAAGTGATCGTTTGTGTCTAATGTAAAACCGTGTTTATATTCATGCTCTTTTGTGGCACAGATGTGCGTGAAGATTGTGGAGCTTTCTCCCAGATTTACGATTCATTGAAAAGCAGCAGTTCGCATCCTCGTGAATTAGTCTGGCTGTGATTTTTCATGCCATAAACACGTGCTGGTTCTCACTCACCTCTGGCTGAGCTGAGTCCCTCGCAGGCTGGACATGGTTTCCTCCAGGTTCTGTCTGAGATCCAGGACATTCTGAACCGTCCGTTTCCTTTGAGACTCGGGATCTGCACACATAACGGACAATCAATATGCAATGCACAGTAAGTAAGCAAAACAAAATATCTGCACCAATTTATCTCATTTTATGTTATTTTATACCAGTTATTTTCAGTTTATGTCTTATAAATGCATATATATATACACACACACACACTACAGTTCAAAAGTTTGGTTCAGTAATTTTGTTTTTTAAAGAACTTAATACTTTTATTCAGTAATGATGCATATTTCAAATAAATGCTATTCTTTTGAATTTTCTATTCATCAAAGAATCCTGAAAATAAATATGTATCGCGGTTTCAACAGCAATATATGAAGCAGAAATGTTTCTTGAGCAGCAAATCAGCATATTAGACTGATTTCTGAAGGATCATGTGACACTGAAGACTGGAGTAATGATGCTGAAAATTCAGCTTTGCATCACAGGAATAAATTACATTTTAAAATATATTCAAACAGAAAACAGTTAATTTAAACCATAATAATATTTCACAATTTTACAGTTTTTACTGTATTTTTTATCAAATAAACTTCTTTAAAAATCATACCGACCTCACCCTTTTTGAACAGTAGTGTATTAATATTGTAAAAAAAAACTGAACATAAAATAGTTTACTTAACTTAAGCACACAATTAGTATCTTTGAAAAACATACTGTAGGTTTCTACACCAAAATTTCTTCAAATAGTCAAAGATGGCAAAAGTTCCCAATCAGATTGAGAACTTTATGCGCCATTAAAGACCAGTTTGTACTTCCTGTTGAATCATGAAGCTGACATTTCAAAGAGTTTGTCTTTTGGTTTTAAATAGCCAACAGCCTTTCATTTACGTCACAAAGGTGAAAAACAGCTCGACTTGATCAATCACCTGGCTTTGCTGAAAGCTAACAGTCTTGGACATTAACCTCGGAGGCAGCACTGAACGAGCCAAATGCCAACAATGAGATTACGAGAACCAGACAGCCTCATAACACATCGCCTACACTGACAATGAGAAGAACAAATGATGAAAGTCTTCTTTCGTCCAAATAAACAAATGTTTTCTGTTCAAACAGTTGTAAACTGCCACACAATCTCTTGAAAACCTGCGTGGGCGAGCGGTCAGCATGTCAACAGCATGCCCAATCAATCCCATGGTGCAGTTAAGCACGACGCCTGGCCTGACATTATTAACGACTGGACTGCTTTACAAAGAGCGAGAGAGAGAGGTGGTTTACAAGCATTACTGGACAGCAGATAACTCATGTCAATCAACTACATTCCCAATTTACAGATGCTCTAACTAATTACATCACTAGACAGACTTGCATGGTGGAATTAGTGAATCAGATGACAAGATGACAGCATTTCATTAGTTTTCATTGTAAAGTATGTACATAACTATTGCAAATCAACCAGCTTCACCTGTGTTGTGCCCTGACCTTCTAAAAACGTTAATTTCTACCATAATGGTCAAATAAAGAGCAAGCACAAAACACATTTTAAATTGATAAATTTATTAATTTACATGCATTATGCATATATTATAAACACCCTCATATTACGCATTGCTACCTCCGCAGAAATAAACATAGTGGTATGCCTTGCTCCAATGCAATCTCCAGCTCTGCCATTGGCTGCATGGGAGATTAAAATTGAATGCATGCTCTTTTTCTCCATATGCTTTGATCTGCAAGGGCAAACTGGAACACAGCTTCATGTGTAGATTTTGTGGGTCACAAGGAGCAACACTGCACCTAGTGCAGTTTAATACATTTGAATATTATGCACAACATAAATATAACCAATTAAAATAGTAAATTCTAAGGTAAAACAAAATAAATTCCAGTAGTAAATTCAGATAAATTCTATTAGCAGTTTTGTCAATATATAATACATATATATTTTTTTTCCAAGTATTTTTGAGTGAATGTATAGTAAATGTGCATACACTGCAAAAATTATACAGTATTTTTGACTTTTCCAGATAAAGCATCTAAAAAAACCTTAAAACAAGACTTACTTACTTGAATCAATGCTGCATAAGATAAGACAAAAATTGAATCTTGAATATGTGTATTTCCACTTGTTTTTAATCTGTTCATACTGAAAAACAAGTGAAATCAGTGCTGTAAAACGAAATTACAGATATACTCTGTGAAAACCAAAATTAGTATCTTATGCAGTGCTGATTCTCAAGTTATTTTTTAAAGAGATAGTTCACCCAAAAGTAAAAATGTTGTCTACATTTACTCACCCTCAACCAAACTGCTGACCTTAGCCACTGACTTCCATAGTATTTTTTCCATACTATGAAGTCAATGGCTACCATCAACTGTTTGGTTACCAAAATTCTTCAAAATTCCAGGTTTAGAACAACTTGAGGGTGAACCATACCCAAAATATATTACTTAGAAATCAAGTAAAAGAAGGAACAAATAAAAAGTATATTTATAATAGTATATCATCAGTTATCAGTCACCCTTCCCTCTAGATATTGATATGGATATCAGCCACTTAAATACCCACAGCACAGTCAAGGAAACCAACATGATTAGAGTGGCCTCATAAAAGCTCATATCGTCCTCATAACTTGCTATACATATTCAGGTTTATTTCCAGACTGGCACAAAGAGGCCAAATTTGGCCCTAGCCCTTTATTTCCTAACGTTTAACTGTCCTTCAACTCAAACTATTGTGTCTCATACACATTTTAAGCATTTCCGTCCCCCTAGAGATTTAGACCCACGTCCAGCTGTGCAGTACAATAGTAACTATGAATGCACAGAGGAAAGCAATGCTCCATTCTGAGTGCGAATTCAGTCTTGTGACCAAAAGTGGTGTGCAGATGTTATGTGCCACATACAACTCATAAGGAAGTCTATTATGCAGTGGTTTATTATGCAGAACAAATGAGCATGAACTCTGTGTAATTATGATTATAAAAAAGAAAGTGCTTTGATATAGAGATTCAACAGATTATTCTTAACAGAGACCTTGCGATTAAAAGATCCTGCATGAAAAAGATTCCCTGTAGCACTTTGTTTTTCTTCTAAATTTAGAGGAGAAGAGCTCCGCAACCACTCTGGTGTTATTCGTAATTATACTCTGTCTATATAAAAGCATGCTAAAAATCCTACAAGAATGCATGCAAGATTCCTATCGGATTTTCTGCTATAATTCAGAACCAAATTATAAATTAAACCAAACCAAAATGAAATATATTTTTAAAAAATTTAAATTAATTAAAATTTGGAATCCGAAAAGCATCCTAATAGAAATGCAGTGCTGCTAGAAATATTCCAACAGAAGTTCCATTTTTATTCTTGGTTCTTACTTTTTATTCCCTGCAGGATTGTTTTTCAAATTATAATTCCGATCGGAATCCTGTATGGATTCGTATGCAAGAGCTACGGAGAGCATTTTAATAAGGAGTTTAATCCAGGTCATTCGTTTACGCTCATTAGCTTTTAATCCCACCACCGAATTATACTGTGCATTGCCATGCAAGGAGAAGGAGGATCTAGGTTTCCACGCAAACAACTGCAAGAATTCAGGCCCAAATTGGTTGTTTAAACATATGAGGTCTGGACATGGTTGAAATAGAGGTCATTCATTTGAGGACTGATGCACGAATGCAGAGCATGCTGTGTTTAGAAGACAGCACAAACAATATTTGTTTTAAATGCAACAAACATACATCCTGATTAATACCATGGACATAACAAACAGTATCCAGATCCAATTATATATATATATATATATACAGCACAGATAGTAATATTGTAAAATATTATTACCGTTTAAAATAATTGTTTTCTATTGTAATATATTTTAAAATTTAATTTATTTCTGTGGTGCAAAGCTGAATTTTTTGCATCATTACTCCAGTCTTCAGTGTCACATGTTCCTTCAGAAATCATTCTAATATGCTGATTTGCTGCTCA